ATTAGCACTTAACACAATAGCGCTGGTATTATCACACCATATTGTTGGCTAATTGCATTGTGATACCTTCAAGTCAGTGAGCAAAGCATCAACCCACGCTACTTCAGCTGTTGTGTCAGCAAGACTCCTGTATTCAGCTTCCATGGTTGATCGAGACACAACCTTATGCTTTTTCGCACTCCAAGTCACCAAACTTCCTCCAACAAAAACACAGTAGCCGGACATCGACCGTCTATCATCTGCACATCTTCCCCAATCGACATCCGAGAAAGCTGATATATGCAACTTGCTTGGCACAAATCCCAGACCATAGTCCAATGTCCCACCTAAATAACGTAGGATGCGTTTAGCAGCAAGCATATGTTGCTCTCTTGGTGCATGCATATATCGGGCGACTTTGTTCACACTAAAGGCAATGTCGGGTCTTGTGTGACACACATAGAGAAGCCCTCCTACTAGACTCCGAAATTCTCGTGCATCAGCTAATAATTGTCCTTCATCCTTATTCAATTGCGAGGATGTAACCATAGGAGTATAGGTACACGAGGCCTTAGTCATTTTTGCTTTCTAAAGTAATTCTAAAGTATATTGCTTTTGACTAGGCACCAATAACTTATCACATCTCCTGACTTCAATGCCCATAAAATAATGTAGTTCCCCTAAATCCTTCAACGAAAAATAATCTTTTAACAATCTGACCACTTTTTCAATTTCACTCGACGACTGCCCGATTATTATTATGTCATCAACATATACTAAAATATATGTTGACACTTCACCTGCTGCCAGAACAAAAAGGGAAGTATCAACTTTGGACTCCTTAAATCCAAGACGCACAAGACTGCTTTTTAGCTTTGCATGCCAATTTCAAGGTGCTTGCCGCAAATCATTGAGAGATTTCTGAAACTTGCAGACCAACTTTACACCATCAGTTGTGTATTGTTCAAAACTATACGGTTGATGCATGAATACGTCTTCACTCAGCTCACCATGAAGAAATGCATTATTGACATCGATTTGCCTTAGTGACCACCCTCCAGATACAACAAGGGCAAGTATAATGTTTAACGTAGCAAACCGCACCACTGGGCTAAAGGTCTCCTTGAAGTCTTGCCCAGGCACTTGAGAGTATCCCTTAGCAACCAACCTAGCCTTGTATCTTTGAACCGTTCCATCAGAGTTACGTTTAACCTTAAATAACCACTTACAACCAATAGTAGATCGTCCTACAAGTAACTGAACAAGCGTCTATGTGCCATTACTTCGAAGAGCAGTAAGCTCAGCATGTACTGTTTATTTCCACTCCTTGGATTGTAGAGCTTCATTAATCGAAGCTGGAAGCACCTCACTTAACGAACTAGTAAAGACCTTGGGTTTAAAGACCCCACATTTTCTTCTCGTCAACATAGGGTGTTGATTAACAGAAACTACATTCTGTTTAGCAGGTGGTTGCAAGTCATCATCTGCTACACCTTCAGGTACTGCAGTGGATAACTGTGTGGACTCAGGACCACTCGACTCAGCCTCGTCATTATCCATATCTGAATTAGTAGCATTTTGAGGAGTAGGGTCACCACCACTCGGAATGCTGAAGTCAACACTATCAACATGTGCATGTGAAGACTCATTAGAGCGTGTGAAGAGACCAGTCGTTGCTTGTACCCTCACATGATGAGGAACAACCTGCAAAGGAGGAGACCTCCACGCACTAGTATGAGGCACAGACTCAGGCTGTTTCATATCTACAAAGGAAAACACATGTTCGTCAAATTTAACATGCCTCGAGATATAGACGCGACCATCCTGAGCGAGGCATTAAAAGCCATGATGCTGCGAGCTGTACCCCAAGAAAACCCAATGAGCTGATCTAAACACTAATTTATGTTGTTAAAATGGCCTCAAGTGCGAAAACAACGACACCCAAACACTCGTAGCATGGTGTAATCAGGTTTAGAGCCAAACAACTTTTCAAAAGGTGAAAGATTACCTAACACTTTGGTAGGCAAACGATTAATTAAATGCGATGTAGTAGCCACAGTATACGACCAGAATTGAAACGGGAGAGTAACCTGAGCTAGCAACACGAGTACCAATTCTACCAGGTGACGATGTTTGTGTTTAACGACACCGTTTTGCTAAGAGGCGTGAAGGCATGTGACTCGATGTAAAATGCCAGCACGAGTTAGCTCATATGAAAACCGTCTGTACTCGCCTCCCCAATCACTCTGAACTGACTTGATAGGCAAAGAAAACTGAGTGGTGACCATAGTTTGAAACAGTCGAAATGCATCAAGTGCCTGAGCTTTGTTCTTTAACATATACATCCATGTATGTCGTGTACATGCATCCACAAATGAAACATAATAGTGATAGCCACAGGATGAAACATTAGCAGCACCCCAAAGATCGGTAAAAACAAGTTCAAATGGAACATTGTACACAGTAGTAGAAGAATTAAAAGGCAACTTGTGACTATTTCCCATGCAACAAGCAACACAAGTGGTATTTAAATTCTTTGAAATATTAACATTGATGGAATGACATACATCTTGCAATGTTTGAAATATAGGGTATCCTAATCGCCTATGCCAAAGGTCAAATATACTAGGACCAACAGCATTAGACTTATTACACAAAAAGACTTTAGGTTCCATAGCAAAGGTGTACAACCCTTCATGTTGTTGCCCTCGAAGAACCACTACACCGATTGTTTTATCTCGAACAAAGCACTCATCAGTATGAAACTCAATGAAAACATTGTTGTCCCTAGCAAGCTTCGAAACCGAGAGCAGATGTTTCGTTATTTTGGGTACATGTAACAGATCGCTTAACATTAAAGCTCGAGAGGAAGCATTCAAAACAGTATTACCAATTGAATTTACCCCTAATGACACACTATTACCTACTAGGAGATTACCTGGGCCAAGAAATTCAGAGGAATGCATCAACCTGGATGCGTCTGGGGTGACATGGTGAGTTTCCCCCGAATCAACGACCCAATGTTCACCTGTTGCCAAGTTCGCTTGGGACTGACTCGAAGAGGGATGCTGCTTAGCAGTGCAACATGAGCATCCTGACGAGTCGAGCGTTGCACAATTAACAGTACTGAAATCATCTCTGGCTCGTGATGTACCAGAACCCGCATTGATCCCAGGGAAGTCTCGATCGAAGCGATACCAACACCAATCGACATAATGACCATTTCTACCGCATAACTGACATTGAAGCCGTGTACGACCTCGACCATGCCCACCGGAACGACCACCACGAGGCGCCTCAGACGAGCCAGCCGCTACTCTTCCTTGATCAATATGAGCACTCATAAACTCGCATAGAATCCTCACCTTTCTTCATAGACTGAAGCTTGTAGTGGAGATTCATGACCGTGGTGGTAGAGCGATTAGCAAAATATTGTTGAACTATGTTCCATACTGCAGAGGCTGACTCGGCACTAACAAATTATGGCAACAACGGAGCACTAATCGTGGATAAGAACCAAGACGCAAGGGCACTGTCTTGGGCTATAAAATCTTCATAGGCTTCATTGGCAACAGTCTCGCCGTTTGCATCAACAACCGTCTATAGAAGAGGTGTTAACGAGCCATTCAACAACCTTTCAAGACGGTGGCTGCGAACTGTAAGTAGAACCTGCTACTTCCATAGGAGGAAGTTCATCACATCGAGCACCACATTTACTCGCTTATTGATAAACATACGGGCTGACGACGAGGAGGAATCACTAAAGAGAGCCATCGCAACTCAGCAGAGAGCTCCAAGACCGAAAGCGAATGATACCATGTTGGAATATTGCAGAAATGCAAAGGAATAACAATAGTGAATACTTTCTTGATTGGATGAATTGAATTACATTTACAATATGCAGTACTATAGTTTTATACTACAATACAACAACCTCCTGTAACAAATTAACAAAATGAAACAAATTCATAACAGCCTAGTCTTCTAGAACTTCTCCATACCCAACTATGCATGAACTAAACGTGAGCCATGCTTGACACTACACACACGCACACTCCTTTCTCACGAACTGCATCATTCATTCTCTTAACAGTTTTTTTATATCTATTTCTTCAATTTTCATTTTTCGTTTCTTTAACATGGCAAAATTCGATTTATTTCAACAAAAGCAACCATTATTAGTGTTAATTTGACTCTGATGCCATCAAGTTATTGTTGATGGTCTCAATAGAAAAATAGTGATTTTAGATACTTCACTATTTTTGGATTAGACAGGGAATAGTAGGGAGAAAAGAGAGAGAGATTGAAGAAGACAATATTAAATAATGGGTGTGGGGTTTCAGATTCTTTCACCCTTCCTTGTAGGGGCGGATGCATTAAACCCTAATAGGAGTTAATTGTATCGTATTATTTTGAAAAAAATGGTTAAATTTAATCTAATGGGTTAAGGAAAAAAGGGAAAAAGAAAATTTGTATGTCCTCTATTTAAAAAAAATGAAAATTAAAATTTTATACCTCATTCTTAAATTTTTGGATCCGCCATTGCTTCATTGTATGGGTGTTTATATCTCTAACACCATGCCAGGATTTAAATGGCAGTTGTGGCCGTGTTTTCAATCGCGTTGCGTTTGTTGCGATTACGAATATAACGGATGTTATTACGGTCATAACGGGTATGACGTTTGTGATTTTTTTTTCTAAATGAGTTGATTTATAAAAAAAAAATTTAAATTAAAATAACAAAAAATAGTGATATGTTATTGCCACGATTAACCGCTACTCGTTAAATATGGCCGTGACCCATCGTTATTGGTGTAATTTCACTTTATACTATTATTTTCTGTGATATAGATTTCGGACATCGTTGCGACCATTATACCGCTGTCCAGCCACTGGCGTGCGCAATGGGATGGATATGGTGTTAGTTATAATGTTATACCGAAGTACAACAGTTGGATTTGAACATTTCAGAAGCAATAGCCAATGTATGTTCTGTTTTTGAACCTACAATTCCTTCAGGATTTTATTCTATCTGAATAAAAAAAAAACAGTTTGTGGAATGCCACTTGGTTTACCTAACATCAAACAAAAGTAATATATTACAAAAACAAAAATAAAGGAACACTATATAAAATATTAAGAAAATAAAAAGAGAAACCAGTACTCCACTAGTAACAATAATTGGGGTTTCCATTCCACCCTACTGCAATAAACAAAGTGCGACCACCAAACCAAGCAACAACGTCGGTTTCAGAGCTCCATCCGAAACCGAAGTGGATACCGGCAAAGAACCAGACGGTGCAAGTGCAAAACCAGGGCCAGGAGCCAACACACTGTCGGGGTCAGGAGGGCTGGGGCTCGAAGGAATAGTGGGGAACGATGAATCAGCTGGAGCCGGTGACATGCCTTTAGGAGTAGGGAACAGAGGCTCAATTTCCGGAGATAAACTCGGAGCAGTCGGCAAGAACGCCCGTGCAGCCGATATAGTTGAGTATTGAACACGGAGTTGAGACGAAGACAAGGCTAGTGAAGAAAAACAAGCCATGAACATCATGAATGACCAAATGGAAGCACTAGCCATTGAAAATATCGAGATTGAGTTTGAAAGTTTTTTCAATAGACGAATATATAGAATGAAAAGGGAGAGAGGAGATTAGATTATGCAAAAGGTGTATGAGAAGAATGTGATGAGATTCATGACGAAGGTTTTAAAATCCTGTGATGGTGGGGACTTGGGAGAAAGAGAAAAACAGATGGAGCTATGTGTTTGCTGACAAAAAACGGTTGGCAAAAACTTATTTTTTATGGTAAAAATACAACTCCACTGATATGCTACACGACAATGTGGATTATGTAGTTGTGTTGAGGCGGGAACATATGAACATAGGGTGCCCTTTTCATTTGTTTTTTTATATAAAAAAAAAGTAAAGAAAGGAACTTTCAAGACATGACAATGGAGCTTAAAGTTGAAGTTAATATGTATTTAATTGATCAAAGTAATACCTGGTTTTTCTAGCTTCTGTTCCCTTACCTTTGTAATATAAAAGTCAGTAACAGTGACTGATTTTCAATTGACGCTTAATCATAAAGGTTATTGATTAGATGAATAATTGACATGTGATTTTAAAAAGGGAGATAGAAGAAGAGAAACAAATGACAGTATGGGAAAGGGAGAAGTTTTGGATCTTTGTTATGATTGTGATTTGTGAGCAGTGTCTTTGTGCTTTGAATTCTAGGATACTTCATACTGTCTTAACCATTTCTTTTATTTTTCAGTTAAATATTATATTTAAGATCCATGAAGTTATGAACATATAATTACTTTGATTATATATTAAAAAAATATTATCTTTAACAAACAATAAGTTGGTCTAGTTAGATGAGGCACTAGGTCTCTTAATCATGGTTAGGAGTTCGAATCCTAGCGTTTGCGAATAGAGCGAACTGGGTTGGAAGGGTCGCTCTCGTCTCTACCGGTCAATAAATTAAATATCAGTTATTAATTCAAAAGAAATATTATCTTTGTCCTATTAAAAAATCTACTCATTACTTAGACCAGTCCAGTGGACGTAAAAATTCTCTTTCACAGTCCCAGCTAAGCAATCTTTTTCTCATCTTCAGTCATCATCACCTTCTCATTTGGCTTCAATATACTTCATTCTTTACTTCTTCATTTTTCTATTCACAGCAATTTGCTAGGGTAATCTTGTGATTTCAAATTATAAGATTTTAACCATTAGATTTTAATTATAAGAGATGTTGATCTTCCTAAAGCTCCCGAGTTTGAGCATAGCGTCTACGGAGGTATTTAAACTTTAATGTCAAATAATTTAAAACCTTTAAAACATATACTACTCTATAATCATCTAAATTTATTTAAAAAAACATGGTAAGATAAACAAACTCCGATGGAGACAGATGACGAGGAATACGGAGACAACTTCGTTTAACGTGGAAGGATGGTTTTGGCTTTTGCTCTCTTAACAGCAAAGATTCTCTCCTTATAGGTTGCCCAGCTCCAATTCTCCTATGATGTTTCGGCCTATTCCAGCGTCCCGAGCATGTATAGAAAAAGAACAAAATGCGATGTTTGTTGGTGCTGAAAGAAATTACGTTATTTACTCTATTTTATTTATCTTGTTTATCACAATTTATGTCATCCTTTCTATTTTCATTTTTATAATTTAAACTAGGGTAATCTATGTTGAATACCACTCACCTTTAGGTTAGGGCTCGTTTATGCCAGCAACGTTTTAATTTTATCTATTTTAACACTAACGTTTAAGTTTAACTACAATTATGTCGTTAATGGCGTAACGGCACGATGACATGGCACCTCCGCGCCGTGATATTGCTGACGTGGCTCACTCAACAAAACGACGTCATTTTGGCATGATTGTGTCGGTGCTAAAAAAACCTCAAAACGACGTAATTTTGTTCTAGAAAAATTAGTAAATAATGCATTTGAAGGGATTTGAACTCATAACCTTTTGGAATAAAGGTTAATACTTAACCACTATACCAACTTTGATTTTTTATATAATTTTATAAACATAATATACATAACATAAGTTATCATTCGAAAAGCTATTTTCTAAAAAAACCCATGAAATTATTAAAATTCCCAAATAAACACCTTAAATTCCAGAAAATCTAAAAAAATCCTAAAATCCTAAAAATCCCAAAAAATCATAAAGTTTACATAATAATCTGGAACTTAAAAATCATTCTGCAAATTTCCAAAATAAAAGGACCAGAAGTTATACGTCATTTTAAACAATTTCAGTTCATGGACTAAATTGCACATTTTGTAAAACTGGTAAGAAAATAAATTCCAAACATCACATTGTTTTCAACTTAAAACACGAGATTAACCCTCTTAATGACCGGAAAATTAAATCTAATCACTTATAATACTTTACCAATAATTTTAACACATTAAAATTAAATTAGAATCATTAAAACAACATAAAAATTCAAGATTTTCATGTTATTCAATATACTTTAAACACAAACACTATTGATGTCACTTCTGTTATTGACTCCAAATGAGCATTTAGAACATGCTTCGTAGGGAATTAAATCAATAATACAAGTTCAATGTATCAAACTGTTCAAATATATTATGTTATTGACTCCCTAATTTTTTTTTGGAATTTTTAGGAATTTAGGATTTTTTTTGAAATTTTATGGAATTTAAGGTTTTTTTTTGGAATTTTAATAATTTTATGGGTTTTTTAGAAAATAACTTTTCGAATGCTGACTCATGTTATGTATATTATGTTTATAGAATTATATTAAAAAATCTAAGTTGGCATAGTGATCTTTATTTCAAAAGGTTATGGGTTCAAATCCCTTCAAATGCATTATTTACTAATTTTTCTCAAACAAAACTACGTTGTTTCGAGGTTTTTTTAGCACCAACACAGTTATGCCAAAACGACGTCGTTTTGATGAGGGAGCCACGTCAACAACGTCACGGGGCGGATGTGCCATGTCATCGCGTCGTTACGCCATTAACGGTGGAGTGGCATAATTGCAATTAAACTTAAACATTAGTGTTAAAATTGGCAAAATTAAAACGTTGCTAGCATAAACGAGCCCGAGCCTAAAGGTGAGTGGTATTTAACATAGATTACCCTTTAAACAATAATATTTTCAACGTATGATCATTTTTCATCGTTCGAGTGTAATATTAACGGAGGCTCTATATAAGTTATGAATGGATTAACTCTTTTAATAAGACAATTATCTTGACATAAATTTGAAATTAGTGGTACTATAAATAATATTTCGGTCACATTCGATGTCGATATTAACAGCATGCACTTTATATATTCTAAATCTGGTAGTACATCTCAAGGTTTAAGGATGAATCCATTGAAAAGGTGATTTTTAGTATAATAATATTTTTAGGTCATTTTTTAATTTAAATATTAGTCAAAAGTACTTTTTATTTTTTTAAATTTTCAAAATTTAAATACTTATTAAATTCTTGTTATTTTATTGTATAAAACAAAGCCTTGTGAGTCTTAACTTTTAAGCTAGAAGCTCGCTTTGTAAACTGCTTTCTCGCCTAGAACTTTGTGTTAAAAACATTTTAATGTTTTGATATAACAAAGTAAGTTAAATGAATTTTAAGATTCTACAAATGATTTTCTAAGTATATTCGATACAATTATTCGAATATCAAAATATTACTCCAAGTCTTTCAAAGTTTAATTTCAATCCTTATTAAAGTGTAAAATTGTGTTTTATATGTAAAATATTTTTAAAACAATTTTTACAAAGTATTTCGAACAAAAAACGAGCCAAAAATCAAATTTGTGAAGGGATGCATCGATGCACACACCATTTCGAATGCATTTTATGCATCGATGCAGTCAGGATTTTATGGAAACATCGAATGCATTTTATGCATTGATGCACAAACCATGCATCGATGCACTCCAGGCTTGTTTGAAACATCGAATGCATTTTATGCATCGATGCACCCTTAGTGCACCGATGCACTAAGTGTTTCAACGGTTGAAATATTTGAATTTTACACTTGATGCATCGATGCACCTTAACTATGCATCAATGCACACACGTTCCCAACTAATTTTATTAATTGTTTTCACACACTAACGGCTCTATTAATTCCACTAATGATCCCCAACGTTCAGAAATGACCCAAAGAGTATTTAAACAAGCTTAGAAGTCATTGATCAACAACAATTATCAAGAATCAAGAGAGAATCAAAGAGAAAGCATCAAACCTCAAGTTTGAGCATTTTCAAGCCTATTTCATTCAATATTCATCTTTGGTTTCAAGAACACTTATTGTACTCAATTGTATTATTCTTGAGTGTTCTTTCTTTGTTCTAGAATTGTGCAAATATCTTTCCTTGTGAGGATTTTCTTGTAAGTTTGCAAAATTTGTATTGTTCTCCTTGGGTGTTCTCAAGAATTTGAGGTATAATTATTGAGGGATTTGTAAGGTTACTTTTTGTCCTCAAAAGAAAGATAAATTAGTGAATTTGTGGAAAATCCTTAGTGTGTATAGCTGAGGTAGTGGACGTAGACTTTGGTTGAGAAAGTCGAACCACTCTAAATCGCTGTGCAAATATTTTTCAATTTTCTGCAAAAGCTTCCACTGAAATGTTAATTACCAATTCACCCCCTCTTGGATATATTCGTCGATCGATTAACTCAATAAATAGTATCAGAGCTTGACTGATTTGAAGGTTTAATCGCCTCTTGAGTAGATCTGGGAAGAGTTACATCAATATTCAAGTCATCAATGACCGACGCTTCAAACTCCGACTTTGTTCTCGATTCAATGCCCGTCAACAAGCCTCCTTTCTTCAATGAAGCTAACTATGCTTATGGAAGAATAGAATGATGTACTTCATTCAAGCAAGTGACATGGGAGCATGGAATATCATAGAATATGGATACATCAAACCTTCCACTCACCTAAGATTGTGGAGTGAAGAAGAGACAAGAATGTTCCAGCTCAACTCCAAAGCCATCCATATCATATTTTGCGCACTTGGACCGGATGAATATGGAAGTGTTTCATCGTGTACAACCGCCAAGGAGATATGGGATAAACTACAAGTCACTCATGAAGGCACGGACGAGGTAAAAGAATCTAAAATTAGTCTTCTAACTCATAGCTATGAAAATTTCAAGATGAAACCGAATGAAGATATCAAAGCTATGACGGATAGATTTTCAACGATTGTAAATGATCTCAAATCATA